TAAAATCATGCCCCACTGCAGAGTCCTGATTCAGGTTATATTTCGTACATAAAAACAATAATAATAATAATTTTGTAGCTGTCACTTTTTGTTGTCGAAATTATCATAAGGGAGGAGAGTAGTGGGTCGAAAGAAAAGGTCCGACACAAATCCATTAATCATCAAAAGAAATCAATATTTCAGCGCACCGAGCATTGGGATCTTAAGTAGAAAAATGTTTCATGGTACAAATCAGCGACTAACTGGTTGTCTATCAATACCAAAGTGGATTGGTCCCAATGATGGACCTCATTTTGTACGGATGCATTGAAACCCCCCAAAACTGAACAACTTGTTTATTTTTGTCATTCATCAAACCCCCATGTCACACAGTCTGTCCGTATCGGATTTGTGGTGCGTAAAATAGGCTCCGTTGGTTAGGACACATTTTGCTTATGTCGTCTACCGCGTCGCACCTTATTTGTAGTGTTTGCTGCAGACTGGAGAAAGCCACGTGGAGGCCAGTAGATGATGAGTCGATGCATGAAGAAATGCACAGAGCAATTAGGTAGAGTAGGTGTCTCTCGTCTTCCGGGTTGGGGTCCCAAAGACTCCGTAACTGGATGGTTGGAGACACTGAAGGTCATGACAGCAAACCGACGATCTTGCTCTCTCTGCTTATCAAACCAGAAGGCTTGAAAATCTGTGTATGCACAGTTGGACCGTGTATTCTTTGTGCTGACCATAGAGGTTCGCTTTCTTTTCCCGTCCCTAAAAATAGGCCCAATCCCTCCCCTCCCTACACGTTTTCATTTACCTTGTATGCCTTATGAGTTTGGCAGCGATCAGTGAAGTTCGCTTCACTGTATTTTGCTGTACAATGATGATGATGAATTTACAGAATTTACCATTACTTTTTTCTTTTTCTTCTCTTTTCATTTTTACTTCCTTTTTTATTGAATCCGCAAAGATACAATTTTCAGGAAGGCGGAAGCGGACAATCAACACACTCAATGGGGAAAATCAATGAAACTAGTCGATGGGAATAAAGTGAAATGGTTTATGGAAAATGAGACTAAACAATGAGAGACTCGTCTGTCGAAATGTTCAACAGCGAATGGACATAGGCACCGTCGAATTGCACTACACGGTATTAAAAACGATTATGCAACGGAAATGAAACCTAGTTGTTTAGGACACTGGGTACTAGTGAAAGTAATTGATCATTATCTGTAGCTAGCGTAAATGTTACGCGGATCCCCTGCTAGATGTCCTCGATGCTGATCATCTGGTTGAGTAGTTAGCAGTCACAAGCAGACGTTGGAGCACCTCTCGTTTTCTGCTTCAGTAGCTGCTCAAGCTAATCTATGATGAGCCGATCCAATCCCCCTTAGAACTAACTCGTTTTGTAGTTAAATAATATTTCTAACTCTTCTTTTTGTCTTTGTCGGGAGAAATCATGTATCGATGTTCCGTATCTGTTTTCTCTTTGTCAGTTTCTCACAAGACATTTCTTGCTCGTAGTAGGGCTGGCTTTATTTTCGATTATTCTTCTCAAAATGTCCTAATGCAAAAAAAGAAATGCGGTTGAAGTCATATCAAATGTTGATCTATTCTGTCATTGCACCTGCCATTTTTTTCATTTGCTGGAAACCGCAAAACCTTAAACACTATGAACCGGTGGTTTTTTGTTGTTGAATATGATAAAGTGATGAAACAGATTTTTCCCGCTTCAGTTGTTCTTGTTCTTCTTCGCACTGATAAAGTTCCGCACAATTCCGCCCTTTTTCCCATCTATTCAATCAGATTGTATACCACCAACAGCGTACTGTGATTTGTCATCTGTATGGCATCAACATCCACCTCAGCGACCCCTTGATTTGTGGGAGGTGAGTCCCGTGCTATTTCGACTTAGGATGGATGATCTGACCGTGTGATTGCTACCCTCTCATGTCTATCTGTTGCACAATGAACGGTACTTTTTAACCTCATTGTTCCTGTTTTGTCCAAAAGCTCTACCGCTTGTGTTTCCTTAGTTGATCCCACTAAACTAGTGCACTAAATTAGTGCATTAGTTCTGTCGATCTAATTGGTGGGAAGCCCACAACAAATGCCTTGCTTCTGTACTATATTATATCATATTTATTTCATACCCGCCTGGGGTCAGACCGTGTGCCGAATAAATCATGGAACAATAGCCTTTATGAAAAAGAAAACCGTTCCATGATTTGCATGTGGGCGGAATACGGTCCGATTGCCAAGGCCAACATAGGTGAATTTTCTTGAGGAATCCACAACCGGAGCCTTCAGCTATCCAAGTCCTGACCCGCAAGGCAGCGGGGCGGTGTGCGAAAACTGCAATCCATTGGGAGCCGTGGTCCAGTTCATCGGACGGGGTCCAACGTCCGATACACTTCGATGCTCAATGGAGCCGATGAACACTATCATTATTGGAAAGGTCTGAGCGTTTGTGGTTCGTAACCTCCTCTTGGTTTGGAATCAGGGTTTTTAACCAACTCCCCTAGATAAACAGCCAGTGGTCCACCAACCCGGTTATAGCCCCGGATTGTGGCTTTTCGTCCTCTCAGAGAACACCTCCGCCAGCACTAGAAGGCAGTGAGTAGGGCTTCCTCAGCAGAGGTTATTTAAGATGCGTGTTTTTATGGGAGCATTTCGCGAGGTGCAAGGGAAGGGTGACCAGCCGCAACTCCAGACACCCACCGCTGACCATCCTGCGGATTTCGGAGCTGTTTTGTTTCAGTGGGACTTATTTGTGGGAGATTGAAACCTATCATCATCCACGCATCATAGTTGCACACCTTCAGAGTTAAGGCCATTTTAGTATACCTCACGTATTTTTCTATATTCCCATGGTTACTTTAGCACCATACCTGTAGAGACTGGTATATATATATACATATATATATATATATATATTGTTTAAATAGTTGTTTGACAGATTTGAAGTTTGTATGTCGATTGTGAAAAACTCAGTAGCCTCGGTGGGATTCGAACCCATGGACACCGCCTACGCTTTGTACGCGCATGCTCTACCAGCTGAGCTACGAGGCCACACCGATAGCACTGATCTTTTTCACGTTCGAATTTACCCATCCAACTTACAGAGGCATGTGGCATCCACCAGTTAGCATGTAAGCTGATTGCCTCAACAGGTTTTCCCTAGAATTCACCGGACTCCACCGAATGAGCTTCCAAAACAAGGACAATTGTTCAAATTGTTGTTTGACAGATTAGAAGCTCATTTGGTGGAGTCCGGTGAATTCTAAGGAAAACCTATCGAGGCAGTCAGCCTACGTGTAACTGGTGGATGTCACATGTCTCTGTAAGTTGGATGGGATATATAATGTATAATGTTCGATACGTACAGTTTTCACCATAATTCACCCGGATTTAAATCTATACACTTGTTTCTACTTGATGCATTTTATCACTGGTCTTTACGATTCAGGAAGAAAAATCCACTCTCAGTTCCGAATCCCCTACCAATCAAGACACCATCACAGTCTGTGTTCAGCTCCTTCAAATGACTTGCTCCAGATCCCCAAAAAAACCAGTGGTACACGCAGATAGACTGGCCTTTGGTCTATCGAGTGGCCGTATTATTGTAGTTCGATTAACAGATTTTCTCCAATTGGCTTACTGCCAGTCGGCCAAGATGAAAACCTCAGGACCTACCGGGCTGTTCCGATTTAGCCGTTTCTCCCTTGAGGGTCACGATGGTCCGGTCACGTGTTTATTACATCCGGCCAGTGTGGACGATCAGTATCTTCGTAGTCTGTCTGAAAAGAGCGAGGAAAAGCCTTCCACGAACAATACACCCCAATTCAATCCAGATCATTTGCTCTCCGGTGGCGCGGATTTCGCTGTACGTTTATGGGATTTGGATCCGTGGCGTGATCTTCAAGGTGAGCGTGCCACACGTTCGTCGGCCGGTGATTCAGCGCTTGTAGACCAGAGCGCTTTCGCGCCGGCTTGTTTGGCCGTGTTTCGCTGTCATGCGTCGCCCTGTCTGTCCTTGTCCATCGGTCCACCGTCCATCGCAATCTCACAGGCAGCCGCGGGCAATCCACGTCTGAGTGTAAGTCCGAACGCTTTGTTTGTATTGTTTAAAGATACCAATGATAGAGTAAAGTTTATTATTTTTGTTAAATGGTGCTTGTTTGCATTAGCCTTTTCGGTATTTCATAGGCACTAGGCACTGTTAATGATCTTGAACGCGGGTTTCACTCCTTGGGTGAACGCTATTTTCCCACAATGTAAATGCATTGACATGTGGTGGAAATGTTTGTTCGATGACGGACAAAGAGCATTGGACAGCCGTTTCGTTCCGTTTGGGACTTGTCAGCCGTGCGAGTACTTTTTGTGTGCATCTCCAAACTGGAACCGCCCAACTTCGCACGACTGACGAAACCCTTAACAGGACGAAATAGCTGTCCATTACTCTTTGTCAGTTATCACAAAGATTTCCATCACATTTAAACTTATTCGTTTTCGTTTCTTTCTCTTCATGAATAAAATGTTTCGGAGGATAAAATTGTTCGTGGTTCAGCTTTCCGTTCATGAGAGAAAACAAATGACTCCATCACATGACCGAAATTTGTCTCTTACATCTGAGCATTTATGCCGGAAAAAGTGGATAAATATGACTGGTTGAGTACCTTTTTCACGAATTCTTCTGGAGCGATCTACCTGTTTGAGAGCTATCCTGTAGCTTTCACTTTCATCTGTATAGAATCTGTGTCTGATCGAACTTCCTGGATCACAAAGAATCGCTGTGGAATCCATCATGATTCTTCAGGTATAGTTTCAATCTATTTGTCGCACACTCTAACTGCTTCCGTTTTGACTGTCTACAGCTTCACTGACACACCGAATATCTTCATCTTACTATAGTCCCCCTCCTTCCCTAGCACATTCGTCCGATTCATGAAAACCCGGCCACTGTTGTTTTGACTATTCTTCGTCAATAGACGAGCACTTTGGGAAATGCACAAAATAAAAATTTG